CAGGACCACCCCCCCTCCCCGCCCCTGCCCAGGGAGGTGTAACATCATCACACATTTAAGAGAAGGAGGCGCCCTGACTAAGGACACACAGGCCTTTGGAGTTGATGTTAATATGCTGCTAAGCCACTCTCCACGATTTGGCCACATCTGGACCAATGAGCAGGGGAAATAAAGGAGCTCCTGCAGGTCCTCGTCCACAGGCATGAGGTGAGCGGTGGTCCGTCTCCACGGTCCCTCACCCCTGGGTCTGCTGCAGACTCGGGGATGGCACTCCCATCAGGCTGTTTTGGAACCGCACCTGTCACGGGTTTGCCCAGTACGCAGCTCCCCCACCTCGCACCAGACAGGGATTTCCAAATGTGCCCCCCTCCCCGCCCCCTACTTGCATTTCAGAAGGACTCACCCCAAGCAGTGCAAGCAGCCAGGAAGCCCAGGACCAGAGCCAAGAACCCCATCGTGGGAGGACAGCAGTTCCAGGGCCACAGGTCTCTGTGCAAGTGCCTCTGCCTCCAGGGGCTGTGACCTCTGCCCCTCAGCTCCCTGTCAGCAGCTCCCGCCCCACCGCCACCGCCCTATTCTCTAATCAGGAAGCAACACAAAAGCTCCTGGTCTCCGGAAGCAGCTCTGGGCACAGCCAGGGCCTCTAGGCCACGCCCACCAGGAGTTGACTGTCTTTCCCCTAAACAGCCTGGACACAGCTCTCAGGTTACCTGATTGTCAAACAACCTGTTACATAAGGGCTTCTCATTGGACACTTCAACCTTAACAGGCAGTGAGCTTCCCAAGGCAGCGGACCAGGGGAGGCGGTGCTCTGGGGGTACTCAGAACAAGGCTACAAACTTTGTGAGCAACTCTAGCCCCATAGCTGCTCAACTGGGGAATTTAGGACAAATCTCTTAGCTTCCCATGTGGTGTGTGTGTGTGAGGGATGGGGCAGGGCGGGGAGGTGGTCGTCAGTCCCCAGAGGCAACTGCTTCTATAAAGATTTCCCTGGCCCTAGCTGGTTTGGCTCAGTGGATAGAGCGTCAGCCTGCAGACTGAAGGGTCCCGGGTTCGACTTTGATCAAGGGCACAAACTCAGGTACCTCCGGTCGGGCTCGGAGGCAGAGGTCAACCAATTGGTGTGTTTCTCTCACATCAATATTTCTCTCTGTCTCTCCCTCTCTCTTTCACTCTCTTTAAATATCAATAGAAAAATATCCTTGGGTGAGGATAAAAAAAATTAAAAAGAAAAAAAAGGATTGCCCTAGGGTGGGGATCCTATCTTTATCTAGGGGAAAAAAAACACGGGTCATGAAGCAGGACAAATCTCTTAGCTTCCCATGTGGTGTGTGTGTGTGAGGGATGGGGCAGGGCGGGGAGGTGGTCGTCAGTCCCCAGAGGCAACTGCTTCTATAAAGATTTCCCTGGCCCTAGCTGGTTTGGCTCAGTGGATAGAGCGTCAGCCTGCAGACTGAAGGGTCCCGGGTTCGACTTTGATCAAGGGCACAAACTCAGGTACCTCCGGTCGGGCTCGGAGGCAGAGGTCAACCAATTGGTGTGTTTCTCTCACATCAATATTTCTCTCTGTCTCTCCCTCTCTCTTTCACTCTCTTTAAATATCAATAGAAAAATATCCTTGGGTGAGGATAAAAAAAATTAAAAAGAAAAAAAAGGATTGCCCTATCGCCCCGTTCCCGCCTGGCTCAGAGTCATCTGCAGAAGGGATGGGTGAGGCTGGAGTCTGAAGCCAGACCTCAGCTTGGCTCACATGCATAAGCCCCCTGCCTCAC